TATGATCAGGATGACAAATGAATTGCTCATCCAGGTGAAACAAGATCTGGCTCTCTATTGGAAGCTACTTTATCATCCGCATGGCTATCTTTCCAATTTAGTACAGGTTGCCTGAAAATCTCACATAAAGTACATTCACATAAAGTGAGACAATGGAAAAAAGGGGGTTGCAGGACATGATGTCCATTTTTGTAACCCAAATACCTTGACATGTGCCATACATTTTTTAGAGCCTCTACATTATCGAAACATGTTTTCTTCCTTGTCTCGTATTCTATGTACAGTGAGGACTGGATTTCTAATGTGGGTGATTATCATAGCACAGGACTATGAGTTTTGTTAGCATTCTACATTTTATTTCATACAGTAGATTCATCCAGGTTAAAAGCTCCTCTTGAGCCTGAGGATTCTTCACCTGTTATGGCATGACATAGTAAGTCCAACTTCTAAGATTAGAGAGATCATATTCATTTTTAGTAAGTGGGTTGGACAAGACATTGAGGTCCATTTTGACTCCACAGTAACAACCATCGCTGTTATAGGTATGGAAGTAAGTGGGAGACAGGACACATAACTAGAACTATACTACATATTTAATGGTTTTGTAGATCAATATTATTGATCTATAAACCTAGTATAATAATTACTTGTAAATCTAGTAAATAAATAAACACAATGGTAAAGAGGAAAAAGAAAGCAAATGCTTGGAGAAAAGCAATCAATTGCATACAGTAATTATTTGAGGAAAACCTGTACAATGGTCTATGAATGGAGGAGGCTTAAAATGGGTAAATTATAAAAGATCCAGGATCAGGACCAAAATTCTCAGAAACTGAAGCTTGGGAGATCTAACTCACAGAGCTCTCTGAGGCTATAATGGACTTGCATAGACCCAAAGTGCTTTGTGGACAAAAGTGACCAAGTTCAATCACTACTAACGCCAACTGAAAATAACGGATTGTTAACAGATCATGAGCTAGAATTCCACCCAGAATTACCTTTAGCGGGCTCAGTAAAATGAAAGTTCCTATGACTGCCAGAACTAAAGTGCTGTTAAGTAACACCAGCTGCCTGCAATTACTGCAAGTTCAAATCTCACCAGGCTCAAGGTTGACTCAGCCTTCCATCCTTTTGAGGTAGGTAAAATGAGGACCCGGTTTGTGGGGGCAATAAGTTGACTTTGTATAAAAAAGAACACCGCTTAGGGGAGGCCGAAAGCCCTACTAAGCAGGTATATACAAAAGTATGAAGGCTATTGCTTAACTCATTGTAAGTCGCCCTGAGTCTCCGGAGAAGGGTGGCATATAAATCTAATAAATAAATAAATAAATAAATAAACTATAAACCCTTCATATCAGTATTGACAAGTAACCAGCAAGTGGTCAATGGGGTGCGTGTAAATGTAAGCAGGATCAAGATGACCTTGAAAACTATAAAACCTTAAGGCAGGGGTGGGCAACTGTGGCCCTTTTATAACCTGTGGACTTCAACTCCCAGAATTCCTGAGCCAGCTTGGCTGTCTCAGGAATTCTGGAAGTTGAAGTCCACAGGTTGTAAAAGGGCCACAATTGCCCACCCCTGCCTTAAGCATTTGTGAATTTCCATAGAGTATAGATTTTAGATAAACTGTGGACAAGGTGACTGGGCTGACCTAGCTTGAAGCATCATTAATGGAGAATCTTGGAACTGGTTGGCTTGACAAAATGTTGTTTGAGAATAGCTAGCTACTGGCTGTAAACGAGTCATATTTATATTTATCTCCTATAGCAGCTGTGACTGCAGACCATTAATACTAAGTGGATTAGGTCTTTCGGAATCTTATTTAAAAACACAATATCAACATATACACTTTGGATTGGATTCAGACTGGGGTTACCCTTGTTGCCATACAGATAGACAAATATTTTACAGCAACCTACCATCTTATTCATTTGCTTTTAAAAAAAATCAACTTAGAACATATAAAAACCATAATATACAAGAAATATTACAGCTCTGTTCAAAGAATGTGTCTAGAATGATCCCGTTGAGCATAATAGATCACTCTTGTTCTTTCGTTATTGAGACACAATTATTATGGTTTACTAATCAGGACCTCTAGCTATATATAACCTGTGGTTGGTGCCTTGCTTGTTAAGAAAAAATCCATATTCTGAGTTTTGTCTCTTTCCCTTCTCCAACCTATTTTAATTACCATAATTAGACCTATGAGGAAGCTCAGATACTTTGGGATGTCCTGTGAACGGAAGGGGGATCGGAGAACATTGTCATGCTTGGCAAGGTTGAAGGAAGTAGAGGAAGAGGAAGGATAATGGATAAGGTGGATTTACAGGAACAATGTGATTACAAGGATGTCCTTGGACAAACTACAATTTGTAACTAATGACAGTTCAAGATGGCAAGCATTTGCCTATGCAATCACCGAGATTGAAAGTCTACCTTACGGAGCCCATCTCAGCAGAACTATCTGAGGTGATCTGAAAAAGTTATTCCCCAGAGATAACTTTTTTTCTCCAGAGACTATGAACAGGATCATATTTGCTCAACTTCCACAACCATAAGCCATAATTACCCTTCAAATAAAGCATTTAGGTTATAGTTATTATAAGTTATAAATAAACTGGACTCCAAAAAGCTGATTGTGCACCTTCTTAGAATAAAGTAATTAGAGTTACTGCTCAAAAACCAGAATCGGCTTTGGTAATCAGTCCTCCTATAAGTAACATAACAGCAAAAAGTTGCAGAATATGCATGAAGAGAATACATTCCTCTGGTAAACAAGTCAGGCCAGCCTGTTCTACCCATTTCCAGGTTCATAGGCAGCAACTGATGAGCTCTGGCACATTTCATTCTAGAAATCAAGCAAGAGTTGCTAATAGACCCCAAAGGGATTTACCATTGGCAGAGTGCTTTTTTGGCTGAGCACTTTCTCCTCAACCGATTATTCAATTTTCTGTAAATTTTAGATCTGAAATAAGCTCAGTACCCCTTGTTCGCATCCCTGGCCTCTTACAATCAAAGTACAATAAAATAATTGCTTTTGTTATAGTTTTTGCACGAAACCTACTACTCAATCTGAGATCCCCTGTATTAAAGCAATCTTATGAACTTTGGTGTTGTACATAAAGATCAACAAATGAACAAGAACGGTGCTCCTTTACCAGTCAGTGTTCTCACCAGGAGAAAGAGAGTTAAACTTGGCACATGCTTTGGCACCTTTTTCAGGCTACTTTTTCAATAGCCTGGTTCATTGCCACCCCATCAGAATGTGTAAAACACACCCATCTTGCTTAAGAAATCTAATATACCAAATTCAGAACTCTACCTGCTGAACTCAAGTATCTGAAAATTCCCTTTCTCAAAAGTAGTGTAAAAGTTGGTTGGGGGTGAGGGACCAGGATTCAATTAAGTGAGCAGTAGATTAAAGATGTTAAACAACAATTATTAAAAATACAAGCCCTGGAGGGGGAAGACAAGGGGCAAACATTATCTCCACTGGAAAACAAAGCCTAGAGCAAAGGACTTGGGGAACTTTTTGTATCACAACAGTGGTGTCATTTTTCAGGCATGCTACAACGCCAGAGTTCGGAGAAAAAGAGGTGAGGCTTTGGAGGTAGACTATAGTTCTTTTTTCCGTTTTTTTTTTTCACCAACCCAAAAAACCCCTCCAGGAATATTGCTGGGCAACCCTGACTGACCCCAGCCAACATGATCAATAACGGGCTGGGGATAATGGGAGTGGTGGTAGTTCAGCGCACCTAGATGGGTCAAAGGAGGCTGCTAAAAAAAAAAAGCGGACGGGGTTATCCGGGAGGCAGCAGAGGGAAAAATCAAACCTGAGAATTATTCGGGATAAAAAAGCTTTATAAACCAGCGCACATTATATAGCGCATCAGAGCGCGGTATTATATAGCCTGGCGGATATATATCATCATTTGAAAAGTTCGTCTGAAAACATCCAAGCCAGCAGCCATCAGACCAAACGCTTTGAAATACCCAGAGTCGAAGGACGGAGCCCGGTTTCGGGAAAAAAGTAAAAATCGGAGAGTTTTTAAATCCAGAGTCGGCTGCACCGAAGTGCCCAAATAAGGCGAATAAAGGGGCGCCGAGGGCGGGGATGGGAAGAGAAACAAATCTCGGTCGACAACATCGGAGCCGATTTCTCCCTTTCTTTCCCTCCACAGCCTCCACATTAACTCCAGCCTTTTTGGCTTTTCTTTCCCACAACTCACCGCATCGGGGGCTCGACGCGTTCCCAGGCGCGCACACACAAAGTTGCGAGCGTTCCTGTCACCGGGCTGGGGGCTTTTTTTCTCCCCCGCTCCTCCGGGCGAGGAGAAAGGGCTGCTGCCCCTCGCCTTCCAAGACAGCCGTCGGGACGCCAACCAGGGCTTCCTTCTCCCGCTTGCTCTTCTCCCAGACCTGCCGAGCGCCGAAGGCTAGTTATACCCGGGAGCGAGCTTGAAGGCGGGCGCGGAGGAAGGAAGGAAGGAAGGAAGGGAAGCGAGAGGGTTTGGAAGTCCGCGGGCAAAAGTCTACGGAACCCGAGAACTTAAGCGGAGGAAAGGCTGGCGCAGCGCCTCCCGCGCCCCCCGCGCCCGCTTTCTCATTCTCCGGCTTCCTCAGGGCAGCGTCGCCCCCCGCGGAAGGTGACTCCGTCCGGTCAGCTTGCGAGGCGCCTGGGAACTCTGCCCAAGAGTTCGCCTCCGCCTCTGCCGCCTTTTTCTTTTCTTTTCTTTTTTTTCCCCCCTCCCTCCCTCCCTCCCTCCTTTCCCTCGCCTGGGATCGCTCAGCAGGAAATCCCTCCCAGCCTCCCGTTCTCCCCTCCTGATTGGAAAAACGAAAGCGGGGACGGCCGGGCGAGCTGGGCAGGGCTTTGCGGAGCTCCCGCTGCCTCTTGCACCGGGGGAGGGAGGGAGGGAGTGGGGGGGGGAGTAAAGAGATTCAGGAGGTAAGCATGGAGGAGGAGGAGGAGGAGGGGGAGGGAGGGCGGAGTGGTTGGGCGGGCGATCGGAGGCGTGTCGTGTCACCAGAGACCTTGGCCCGGTGCGAAACGTGTGCGCACAGGTAAGGGAGGCTGTGTGTCTGGAGCGGGGAAGCCGAGCCGCCTTCGCCTCTGCTTCTCCTCCTCCTCCTCCTCTTCTTCCAAGAGACCCCCCCCCCTTCCAGGGCTCAGGAAAGTCTCAAGTGGCTGTTTTGTGAGATGGGCTTCGCAAAAGAAGGGGCCGATCTGTTTCCAAAGTTTGTCTTTAAAAAAAAAAAAATCTCATGGAGGCTAGAAATGTTTGTCCTCTTTGGTCCTTAAAATCATTCCCAACCCCCTATTTATTTTATTTTATTTTATTTTATTTTATTTTATTTTATTTTATTTTATTATTTTATTTTATTTTATTTTATTTTATTTTTATATGCCACCCTTCTCTGGAGACTCAGGGCGGCTTACAAGGCGTTAAGCAATAGCCTTCATACTTTTGTATATTTTATACAAAGTCAGCTTATTGCCCCCACAAACCGGGTCCTCATTTTACCTACCTTAGAAAGCTTTAATGTTGGGTTTAAACTTCTACATGTCTGTGTGGTGCTTCTTGTTTATTTTCATAGGTGTACACTTCTTTGTACTAAAAACATGAAGAATCTGCAGGGGTATTTTTTTTTTCTTCTTCTTCTCTTTTTCTTCTGGGCACTTGTGTCTTCTTTTTATGTACCCTGAGAGCATATGCACCAAAGACAAATTCCTTGCGTGTCCAATCACACTTGGCCAATAAAGAATTGTATTGTATTGTATCTCCAGTTCTTAAGCATCGTGTACAGGTGTTCAGATGTTTTTGAGATGGGCCTCTTTTGTTGGCGGTGGAGAATGCTTCACTCGCCACCATATTTCTAGCTACGACATCACGAAGTATCTGCCTCCTGTTTCATTGTGATTTATGCCAGTACCTTCTGGCTTTGTTTGCATAACATCTTTTCCCCCAGTGATTAATTGAACAATAATTCACTCCACTCATTCATTTGATTCATACAATTCACACGCTACTCCATGAACTGTTCATACAGGCTGGGTTCAGACACAGTAGACAAATTTGTAATTGGTTGGTTTGGATCCTATTGTCTACATATTTCAGCTTGGGTTAAGGTGGTATAGGAAAGACAACCTTAATCAATTATCCTGCCACCTACTCTGGTTCCCTTCTCTTTTTCAACAGTTGTTCTCGCAGAGAAATTTACAGGTCTACATTTAGATCTTAGTTTTTCAGTGCCTGCAAGGCAAATCTGATACAAGCAACAGGATGAGGTAGGAGAGTAGTTATTACAGTCTTAGTGAACATACCATATGCAGATAGACTTCCTTTGGTTATGAAGCGTGTGAAACATCTTTATTAAAAGGCAGATTTTTACTGTAAATAGAAAGTTATTTTATACTTTTTCAGTTTCCTTTCTTCTTTATATTGTATAAACCTGCAATTTATTGCACTGTATTACATTTTTAGATTCTAAATTAAATCAGAAATTGAATTTGTATCCTTCTAGAATTCTTTTCAGAAGATGGGCATGATGATCTAAAATAAATACATAAAAACCCTATGAGGTTGTCTAATCAGTAATTTTAAAGAAGAAAAACTCTTGTCATCTTAAGGAAAATCCTGTTTCTGATCTTATCCTGCATGCTTGTAGAGTCTGCTCTAAGTGTTAAGTTTATATCCTATATTTTCCCCAGCACTTTGGGGCAATTTACATGGAAATTTTCTTTGATTTTATTCATATAACAATCATCTTATAAAATAGATTGGTCTGAGATAGAACTACTGCCCCAAAGTCACCCGATTTTTCTATAGCTGTGGGTGGACATGAGCCTAGGCCAGTGATGGCTAACCTTTTCCAGACCCAAAATGCAATGTATGCGCGGTCCTAGCGCATGCGCCCCACCCATGCACATGCACACCCCCTGCACACGCTCCTGTGCATGCACATACGCCCCCCCACACACATGTCCTGCCCCCACACTTGCGTGCATGCACATACAGCCCCCCCACACATGTCCTGCCCCCACACTTGCGTGTGTGCTCCCCGCACACGCCCTATCCCCTGTGTATGCGTAGCAGAGACCCGATGACCAGCTGGCTGGCGGGAAGTGCCCACACATGCGCAGCAGATCTGTGACGGCTCGTGTGCCCACAGAGAGGGCGCTGCGTGCCACCTGTGGCACATATGCCATAGTTCACCATCACAGGTCTAGATCTTCCTAGCCCTAGTTCACCCACTTAATCACTATTGCTCAGTTTGTCTATAGATAGACATGTTAAGGATCTATCTTGGCCCAAGCAAAATCATGACTTATGATCATGCGTTACACTTGGAAAAGAAAGAAAGGTAATTAAAGAAATATCTAGCGATGTCTTCTTTAAACGAGGCATCTCTGCTCTCTTCAGAAAGACGATTAGTTACCTAAGGCATTTCTAACTTCTGGATAAAAGTTACAAGCCACGTTTGTAAGGATCCTGATGAGAAGTGCCAATCCTTGTTAATCACAAATTGAAGTCATTCCAGTCAAATGCTACAAAAGAAGTAAATAGATATTCTAATAGTTGACTCTACATGACAGATGGCATTCAGAATCCCCCAGTCACTTGGTTAAGTTGGATGGCTATTGAAATTGAATGAGTGAATGAATGAATGAATGAGTAAATAAATAAATTAATGAATAAATAAATAAAATCGGACTAGCACAAATATGCTCTTTAGAAGGCCAGATCCTGAAGATGAAACTCAAATACTTTGGCCACAATGAGAAGGAAGGACTCACTGGAGAAGAGCCTAATGCTGGGAACGATTGAGGGCAAAAGAAGAAGAGGACGACAGAGAATGAGGTAGCTGGATGGAGTCACTGAAGCAGTCGGCATGAGTTTAAATGGTCTCCGGGGGATGGTAGAGGACAGGAAGGCCTGGAGAAAAGTTGTCCATGGGATCGTGATGGGTCAGACACGACTTTGCAACTAACAACAACATGCACAAATATGAGAGATTTTATCCCCCTCCCCAAATTGAAAGTATTAAACATTGAAAAGTTCTATAACAAAAGCCAGTCTGGGAAGAAACCTCCTCACAACCTGAAAACCTCAACAAACATAATTTTGCAGATCTAATATGTGAAGAAAAGAACAGGGGCTTTGCTCCATGAATTGCCACAGCATAAACCTTCAAATAGGCTTTATGCTAGTTAGATTTACATCTTCCTCCATTTTCCCTGTACTGTAGTCATCTACCTTACTATTTCAGTTCCCATAATTCATCGGTGGATCATGGGATCCACTTTAAAGCAAATTGGAGAGAATGCTTAGGAGCAATTGGGTCAATCATCATAGTAAGTTCTTATTCTAGATATGAACAGGACACTTACTTCTGGGATTAGCTCCAAGTTGTTCCCAGATGTTTTGTAATCCAACTGAATCTTTTTCGGGGGGGGGGGGCTGTCCTAATTCTCCTTCAAAGATGAGATATAGCTATTAATGCCACTTTAACTGGATGCTGATCCTGCTACCATAATGTGGGCATCAGAGATGCCCCATCCATAGAATATCTCCCTGAGCAGAACAAAATATCAAATTGAGCTTGTAACCTGGAACCAATAGGTCCACAATTGTCATGGCTGCTACCATGAACTCCTGAGTTACTCCCATAAAATAGCTGTGGGAGTTCCAGGGTAGTAGCTGTCCGTTGTGTAGAAGATGTCCAGAGAATGTGGTATGCACCAGTTTTCATTAATTTGTGGATGAGAACTGGCTTTCCATAAATATTTATAAGGCTAGATATTCTGTTTCTAGAACATTTTGAAAAATTCCCTTCTCATTACCAGACCCATTAGTATCCTTGTTTTCTCAAAGAGATCCAATATCAGCAAGTTACATCAAAGCTGAGAAACCCACAGCTATTAGCAACCCCAGCCAAACAGTAATTAGCTGTGCTGGGATAACAGAAGGTCCTTAGTTGTGGCCCATTGGTTTATTTCCTTGAAGTTTATTCTTTTCTTTCCCCAAGCAGCAACAGTGGCACTGTGTATGTTCTCTACTTAGTAGGGAGCATGCTGGGTTGGCTTAATTTTATGATATGTTGTTGTTCATTGAAATTTAGGATTATGGTCTTCGTGCCAGATCTGCAGGCTATAGAGAGGTCAGATGTGGTCTTAGTTTATGCAGATATTAAAATTGATGCAAGAATTAAAATATACCAGTTTGGAAGATGGCAATAATATCCAGCTATAGAATAGTCTTATATGGTTCCCAAGAATATCTAAATCGTGCAGACTAAAACACTCTACCACAGGAAAATTACAAATTTGGTAAACAGAAGTCATAACTGTTGCAAGTAGGGGTTGTATCAGTGTAGATGATAATAAAACAAGCGATCAGTGAAGTTTTCCTCACTTACCTGTCACTATGGCACAAACATATCCTGGCAACTATTCTTTTTCTGCAGTGTCCTCATGATACGACATCTGGTTCTCCAACCCATGTGTGAAGCAACCGCAAGCCATCCTTACTGTACAGCTACTGAAGTAATGTTTTCTTCCTTATCCCAAGACAGCTTTGCTGTAGAGACAATCTGCTCTGCTTCATGGACCAATTGGTTGGTAGCACAGTCAAATTGGATTCTTCTCTGCTTGCAAATATTTTGTTACCAGGCTAGATAACATGGTCAAAAAACTATAGGACAGTGATGGCTAACCTTTTTGCCATTGCATGCCAAAAGCAGAAGAGTGGGGGGGGGGGTCGCGCCCACACCCATTATTCAATGCCTCCCATGCCCTGCTCCCTGTGCATGCGCGCGCGCCCCCCCTTTTGGCATGTGATGGCATAAAGGTTGCCAGAAGCTTTCTTGGTGCCTGGGGAGGGCAAAAACAGCCTCACCCATTCACACACCCCCGGAGGCTCTCCGGAGGCTGGAAACAGCCCATTTCTCGACTTCCGGTGGGCCCGGAAGGCCCAAAAATCAGCTGGCTGGCACGCGCATGCATGCTGGAGCTGAGCTAGGGCAACGCTCGCGTGCCCACAGATATAGGTTTCATGCCATAGGTTCGCCATCACGGCTATAGGATCTCCAATATTGCAACAGCAAAGGACCCTTGGGGGTGGGATCATCCCTATACCTACTGCCCAGTTCACCAGCCTCTCCAGTCCCTGTGAACTTCTGGAATAGCATTAAACTCATGCCCAGAAGGAATCCAGTTTACATCTGGTAGCCCTGCCCTTTAAAAGACACACACACACACACATAAAGCACTTACACAAAATCAGAGTTGTTGTTCTAGCCATCTATCAAAACTTGCTTTCTTCTCCAGCCCTCATTCCACATTTAAAAGAGTGATTGGTGAATGCATTTCTTTTTTTTTAAGTTTTTTTATTTTAAACACATTAAAATAAACACAAAACACAAAACATACAAGATTTATGTACATATCATTTTTCTGTTGTTGAATTGAATTGAATTGAATTGAATTTATTAAATTTTTATACTGCCCTTCCCCTATCAGCTCATTTAAGGTGATCCTTTCTTATTATTACATATATTCTATGCATTTCAACGGGCTGGTGACATGATGGAAGAGAGTGAAATAAAGTTAGGAAAACACATGAGTTACTGTCTTTAACATGCCCTGCATACAACATTAATAAGCACCATTTCCAACAATGTTGGAAATCCCACGTGGCATGGGATCATGAGGGAAAACTCACGATAACAGCTAATTTTATGTCAATATCATTTGCAGTTAGCTCAAGAATTGGAAGATAAGACTGGCTTGGCCATAAGGAAGAGCTCAGTGTGTTACGGACATATAGGACCATAAGATACAGTAAGTAAGAAACTAAGATGCATAGGAGTAATCCACCCTTCCAGTTAGTGAAGAGTGTTAGATGTTAAAATTATATCCTGCTTTTATTTATTAGCAACATTTGGAGGTGGTGGTGAAATGTTTTGACAGCTGCCAGATCATCCAAGAATGTCTGCAATTGCAAAACAGCAGCATCTCTGGATAGCTCTGCAGCCTGTTCTGCTATATAGCCAGCAATGCTTAATTACCGTTTATTTAATTCCATCGTGGAAACTGTATCATATAAAGCGTGAATAGTTGTTGTTTTTTTACAATGCCCTTGCAATATAGGCCAGATTTAAATGATCTAAATGATTTAAGTGATCTAAATCTTGCTGGAATCAGTGACTAAAGCAGTGGGATTAAGTATTCCCTGGTCAAAGGCAAAGAGCATGGGCAAATGGTCATATGTTTGTCCTCTTGTGCATTTCTGGTGTGGGTGGAAATGGTACTGGAAGCTGCTGCTTTGCTTTCCAATATATCAATTTAGCATTATTTTAAATCAGATTCTTGTTTTTAATGATAATCTGATACATTGCAAAGCAGGGGTAAAATGTTCCCGGTTCGGACTGGATCGCCCGATCCGGTAGCAATGGTGGCCTTTTAAAAGCATTTTTTCTACAGCTTCTTCAGCCGAAGAGGTTGTAGAAAAAATGCTTTTAAAAGAAAAAAAAAGTTGGCCATGCCCACCCAGTCACATTACCCCCTACCAAGCCATGCCCACAGAACTGGTAGTAACAAATTTGACATTTCATCACTGTTGCAAAGGATACTGAGAGATAACCGTAGGCATCCTGATCCTATAGGACTCATGTTAGGAATCCCTGGTCTAATAGGAGGCAGCTGTTATAATCAAGTTTATCTGAAGTAACATCTCTTTTAGCTTATTTGTGTTGTATGAATTCAGGCAGTGGAGTTAAGTTGTATAATATAGTTAACCATGGCTTACCTCTTTTGAACTGATTTTATATGTTGTTTAGAATGCAACTTTATTGTAATAATGCATTGTAAACTCAAGGAGGCAAAAAAAACCAATGTAATAAATGTATAGATTACTATGTTGCCCTGCATTCCTATACTATACATCTATACATACAAGACCCATTGAATTCAGTGGGTCTTGCTCCTAAGGCCATGTATGAGGAATTTATTAGGAGCTGTTGAATACATATCCAGCACAAGCCTCTTCCTGTCATGTAAAGATAAATATTTTTGTTTCCCTTGATCGTTTGTTCACATAACAGGGGTACTTGGCAAGGTTTTTGCAACCAAGATTGCAAAGAAACATTGAGGGTGGAGGGAGAACTTGCCAGATGTTCTCTGCCCTTCTGGAGTGTGCAGTGTAAGGAGAGGAACCTTCCCTTGTCAACTGGGTAGAGTCAGGCACAAATAACCAGGAGAATTCATTGAGCTTAAAGCATAGCAGAGCTTATTATTGCTACCTACACACAAGAATCTAATCAACTAATGGTGAAAGTTAATTTGGTGCTAGATAAGGGTCAATAGAATTCACAAGGGCTGGACTTGGATCTCTTGTGGCAACGCAATGATTCCAAACTAATGACACGTTTAACGCCACCTTCCAGTTCAGCCTGCTCTTCTCCCTCAGGTAGCTTTCTAATACTAAACCAGCCTTCCCCAACCCATTCTTCAATGCCTAGGGCTCTTGGTTTTATGTTATGAGCTGCTCTTAAGAAGTTGATCACATGATCATATTGGATTCTATGGAGTTCTATCTTGAGAAATGCCCACCATGCTTAAGATGAGAGTGGGAGGCACGCAGCTGTTGGGCTTAATTGAACAAACATAAATAAAAGTTCATGGATTGGGAAAGAGTGAACTCCTTCTTCCTAAAATGTACCTCCCTCGTGCTCAATAAAGTGATAATTATGTGTGTTTGGATATAAATGTCAGCATTTTATGGCTTTTATATGGAAGAACATGTCTATAAGTAGATATGCTTGGAAACATTGCAAGTTAAAGGTCTTGTAATTCATTATCCAACTTTGCCAGCACTTGTAAAGTGCACTGACATTTATAATGATCTTCTGAATTTATGCAGCACCCATTATCATTTTAAAAAAATCTTAATTAAGTTTAGCAACTCCCCAAAGAGATAAGCCTATTTTCAATCGGTGCAGAAACACTGTACACCCAAATCAAGGGCAACCAAGTGTTAAAATCAGGACATCATAAAGGAGACACCTTGGTTCCTGGCCTGATTTGTAAAAAAAAAAATATGGTTCTTATTTTCCCAGTGACAGCTTTGTAGGATGAGATGGCACAGTAACATCATGCTTTTGCTCTTTCTTTTTAAACCAGAGGTGCCCAACCTGGACAACTTTAAGACTTGTGGATTTCAACTCAACTTCAACTCCCAGAATTGTGGAGTTCAGCTCCCAGAATTTGGGGAGTTGAAGTCTACAAGTCTTAAAGTTGCCAAGATTGGGCACCTCTGGATTAAAAAGAAAGACCAAAAGTATTATTTCAGCGAAGGTGAGAATGTCTGAACCAGCAAATCCAGGTGGTAGCACTTGTGTTGTTGGGTTTTTTTCCTTTCCTCTTGTGATAATTTGTAAAGCTTTTTCCTAAGGCTCCTCCTTTCACTGTGTTCTAGAGATGGGAAATAAGATGGAGGAGGAGCCCTTTGAAACGTTACTAATGAAAAAGCCATTCAGTTCCTTATCTTTGCAATCGGTGCATAGGTCACTTCAGTACGGGAAGAAGAAAGATAGCTTTGTGAAGAAAATGTACCATGAGGTTCTGTCCACCCTATTTCTCAAGACTTCCATTGCTGGCCGATGGCGCTCAGCGGCTACTCTCGATACTATTGGATCAATATGTTAAATTTATATTTACCGACAAAGAAATAAAGGGAGACTAGTATAGATGTATTTCAAGCTATTTAGCTCTTGTCAGCTAGCCATGCCCTTCTGGGATTTCGAACCCGGGCTATTTACATATTAGATAGATGTATTAACCTCTAAGCCACAGGCTCTCCTCACTTTGTCAGCTATACCCAGGGGAGAGATTAAGAGTTTTGAATCAGGGCAACCTGGTCTACCCAAATATGGGACGGAGCATACTGCTTCCGCTTTCACTTTTCAACCCCAATCCTGGATTGGCGAAAGCAGAAGCAGTATGCTCCGTCCCATATTTGGGTAGACCAGGTTGTCTTGAAAAAAAAACAATTATTTGATCAATGGATGTTCATCACCTTTCAAAGCGAGTTAGTGTAAATAGGATGGAATAGTTTGGATCCTCTTCAGGAAAATAATGCACTTGGAAGACTCTGTATATTATAATGTAGGCTAGTATATATAATGCTTTTCTTTTTCAGAAAGGGGGCATAGCTTGTGCAGAGAAGCAGCCCATGAGGTGGGAAGATGAAATATTGTTTACAAATGTTGATTATATATGGACAGTAACAATGAAATATTGTATGGTCATCTTTTACTGAAGCTGTTATTTATAATTTTATATTTGTACCTACCTGGGTGAAAAATCCTGATATATAATTGTATTGTGGATGTTTTGTTCTCTTTCTCTGTCTCTTTATACTTTTTTATTTCCTCCATTTTATGTTTTCTTTTTCTCTTCTGCTTAAATAAACAACTAAATGAATGAATAAATGAATGAATAAATGAATAAATAAATGTGCCTTCCACTAATCTTCATAAATCATTGTTGCCATCTAGTGGTGAATGCCAACCTTACAACTGAACTAAAGCAAATCAATAAAACTTCACACACTATTAAGCCATGGTTTATTTAACTATGGTTTACAAGTCTTTTGCAAACAGCAGTGGTTTGGTCTGCTGCTCAGTACAATGTGTGAAATACAGATTTTAATGCTTCTTAATCCAGGTAAGCCTTTTCCAGGAATAATATTAACTGCTTTCTCAACGTGAGTTATTCACAAATCCAGAGATTATTAGAACACCAAAATGAAGTAATTGCATTCAAAATGATATGATACACTTCTCAGGAATGTCCGTAAATAAATGAAAACCAAGGGGTTGTGTGTGTGTGTGTGTGTGTGTGTGTGTGTGTGTATGTAGGGAGGACACCATCTTGTTTTGTGACAGGAAAGAGGAGCCAAAGTTCTGACATGGTTCCTCAAAATTCCATCATTGTTCTAGCACAGACACGACATGTCCCACCTGATTCTTCCAGCTGTAATTCTGAATGCAAGGATCTGGGAATTCATGGAGTGCCTCTTAGAAAAGGAGGAAGAAGTATTTTTCCACTGCCATAAAAACTGCTTCTGGGTAACCAAAAAGCACCGCTCAGCAATTTGACAGATTAAGGAGGCAGGCTAAAAATGGTGCTCTTTCCCGTCTTCTGAAAACTGCCGATTAAGATAACACAGCACCAGAGTGCTGCTTGTGTCATGGAAATGAACAAAAGCAACCCCATTCCAATATGAAGCAAAACTTTAAAGGGAGGGGGCAGATGCCAACACTTTATCTTTAAAACACACACAGCTTGTTATATCCACAGAGACGATATTTTCTTCTTGAGAATGAACAAGCAAGGACGTAAACATCTCCTCTGGTTTTTGTTCCAATATCATCACTTCTAAATGTTCTGCTAGTTTGAACAAATTGGCATTGTGTTGTTGCCCATTTGATCTCAGAGGATTAAAAACATTGCCAAATGTAGTGCAGGAAAAACCAAAATGCTCATTTGGCCAAACTCCTACACTTGGATGGAAAGATGCAGAGATGACACATGAATCATGACTCTACCAATGTCTGTGGGACAGATGGATCATGATTTTGCTGTTCTATTCCAAAAGAATTACCACTGAAGTCCCTCTGAATATTTTCAAAGCCAGGGAGAATATGGAAAGTTCGCTTCTACAGAACATTGTTTCTTTCTTTTTTTAAAAAACTTCCCCTTCTGCAATTCCTTACTGTGAATTTTTTTGCCAAAAATGCAAAGAATTTACAAGTTCATGTAATAAAAGTTGAGCACAGTAAAAAAAAATGGGACTACAATTAAATATAAATGAAAAATATAAAGACTAATGAAAACAGGCACAGCAACCAATTTAACTGAAAGAACTTCTGCCTTTCGTTAACTATCAGCAGTCAAGAACAGAAAAGAACAGACAAGAAATATACCATTGATTAAAATTTGGTATTAAGGCCACTTGGAAAAGATATTCAGATGTGATATACCTATAAAGATCATAATACTCTAAAGCAGGGCTGTCAACCTCCTGGCCTGTGGACCGGATGCGTCACACGCTGGCCACGCCCACACCCAGTTTAGCAAAGGGGAAAAAAGTCCCGATAACGTTACATGGCGTTGCCGTGACATCACGAGTTTGACAGCCCTGCTCTACAGAAATGAAATCTGGACTTTGAAGAAGCAGGATAGAAAGAACACTTTGAATTTTGGTGGAGAAGACTCCTGTGAGTACCACGGACAGCCAAGTGAACAAATGATCACCAAACGTCAACTGAGAAGCTTCACTCGAAGCAAAAATGACAAAGCTCAAGTTACCCTATTTCAGCCATGTTATAAGAAGGCCTTGCTCTGTGGAGAAAGCTTTAATCCTGGGAAAGGAAGGAAGAAAAAGAGGATGACCAGCAGCAACCGGATGGACTCCATGACAGGGATGATGGGTGTGGAATGGATGGATGGGTGTGTAAAGGATCACCTGAAACTGAGAGTTTGGCTCATCATCAGAGTAGGCCATCCATTCCTTTCTGAATTCAATGATTTCCAGCCAATTTCAAATTTACCTCATGACTGATGCAAAGTTGCTGTTTTCTGACCACAGCCATCTTAAGCCCTTCAGAAAGGATGGTTCCCAGCAATTTGTTTCATTCTATCAATAGTTGCAGTTTCAACTGGCTGTGGCATCTAGTACATTCCCTTTCCCACAGTTGCCGGTTGCTGCCCTGGGCATCCATTTAATCCTGGACTGTTGGGTATCTTAGTTCTTCACATAATCTTCCAGATGATACAACAATGGCTCATTAAATCAATGAATAATCCTCATATCTAGGATCTCATGTTCCATTCAAACCATCCATCTCCCTTCTGTTTCTACCTAAGCTGGGTGAGTTGGAGGACACAGGCTTGCTTTCTTACCTTCTGCTCACAGTAGTAACGGAATCTATTTTTCTCTTTCCTCAAACAAAAGCTTAAGCTATTATACGGGAACATTTGTACTGTGTGTCTATCAAGCTGAACTCTTGGTTCATCCTGGATACAAGATTTCTGGGGACTTATAGTAGAACATAGGACTGAAAAAACAATCTGTTCCCTGTTGCTTTGATTATTCTAGCATCAGAGCAATGATGATACCATATTGGGGAAAAGAAAAAAGAAAGAGTTTGCAGATGTGTCAAAGGAGGGAAGAGATGAGAGAAGGGGAGAAGGGGAGGTTGTGAGAACAGCCGTGTGTTGGGAACATTGGGAAATCAAAGGGAAGATACAGGGACTATTAAGAAGGGAACAGCCCCTAAAAGGAGAAGGCAGACTAGTCCACATGGCCAGTGAAGCTTGTCTTCCCTGCATGGATGGAGAGGCAGGCAACAAGGGAATGGCTACTTCAAGTCTTGCAGTGGATGTAACCCAGACCCATTGCCAATCCACTGTAAACCAACCAAAATAGGTTAAAAGAAAAAGAGCAGACCAGCTAATACAGGTAGTCCTTGACTTACTACAGTTCATTTAGTGACTGTTCGAAGTTACACAGCAGTGAAAAAAGTGACTTATGACCATTTTTCACACTTACGACCATTGCGGCATCCCCATGGCCACTTGATCAAAATTCAGATGCTTGGCAACTGACTCATATTTATGACAGTTGGTGTGTTCTGGGGTCACCTTTTGCCACCTTCAAAGTCCATGGGGAAGGCAGATTCACTTAGCAAATACATTACTACCTTAACAACTACAGTGATTCACTTAACACCAGTGGCAAGAAAGGTCATAAAATGGGGCAAAACTCACTGAACAATTGTTTTGCTTAGCAACCAAAATTTTGGGCTCAATTGTGTTCGTAAGTCAAAGACTACCTGTAAATAAATAGCTACTTGACAATGTTAGAAGTAAAAAGGATCTCTCATGCATATATTTGCTTTTTCCAATAACTTGAGGAAGGTAAATACATACTATGAAGGTGCACAGCAATGTGGAATGTTGAAAGCCCAACATATTTGTTATTGGCCTTTCAGTCAGTCAAGCCTCTGTACTCTTCATGAATAGATGTATTTCATTTCAGTGGGGTTATCTGCCACTAAATGCTTCTTTGAGTCACACATGTGATACCAATGTTATTTAGCCTCTTCTTTTGTCAATTTTTTTCAGCCATCAATTGCCTTCATATTATACGGCCCAAATATTTAAGTTCCAACTTCCTCGGTTGTGCTTCTAGTAATCTGTTTGGTTTTACTTCATCCGATAGGAAATGACTTGCCTTTCTCAAGCACCATAGTTTTAAAGGCACCAATTCTTATTTATTCAGATTTTATGTCAATCCAAATTTCACAGCCATATGTCACAACTAGGAAAATCAAAGACTTGACAATATGTAGCTTTGTTGCCTGTGTGATATCTCTGCACTTTAATATTTTGTCTAGACCTATCATAGCTTTCCTCCCAAGTAGTAAGAATCAATTTATTTCATGGCTATATCCTCACTCTAATCGATTTGAAAGATAAAACCTGTTACTGTTTTGAATTTATGTCTGCCAATCTGCCATGGGCTGGAAGTGCCTAATCCCTGTGAGGATATTGTTTTATTTTTAATATTGAGCAGATCAACTTCTGTGCTATGGTAGTCTTCCTTCATCAAAACATTCCTTAAATCTTTCTAACCTCCAGCCATCAAATTGTATCATCAGCATATCTGAGATGGTTGCTGCTTCTGTTCACCAATGTTAATTCAGTTTGTCTTTTCTCTTAATATATATTCTGTACCAATAGTGGGTTCCACTTACCTTCGCTACCGGTTCAGAACTGTGAGCATGCAGCGCATGTGCAGAGAGTCCGTGATGACATCTGGGCGGATGGACGGAGCCTCCCGCCGCTGCCACTATCGATTCACCCGAACCAGGACTAACCGGTAGAAACCCACCACTATTCTGTACATAGATTGCATGCCCAATTTTGAAGTGTTTAGTCGCTTCACATTTTCCTCTCATTGTTGCTTTCTGGTCACCTTACAATTCTTTAATATGCAGGTGAGGTGGTTTGGCACACTTAAGCCGTCCATAGTTTGTTATGGTCTTCACATAAAAGCCTTTGAATGATCACTAAAGCAAAACTAGACATCTTTTGGAACTCCAGTGCCATTTCCATTATTGGCCAGATGTTAGCAATGTAACCTTGGATGCCCTTGCTTCTTCTGAATTAATTACCTTCTTATAATCCTTACAAGAGCCTGAAAAGCATGATTACTTTGTTCATATGATGCAACTGGCCAGATGAGACAGAGAAAAAAGACCCACTGTAGCAGGGGTAGGTTCTACTTACCTTTACTACCAGTTCGCAGCAGGAGCGCGCATGTGCAGATCACCCATGATGACGTCGTGGCGGGTGGGTGGAGCCTCCCGCCCGTTTTACTACCAGTTCTATAGAACTGGACCAAACCGGGAGCAACCCACCACTGCACTGTAGTTAGGG